CCATTGGTCTTCGTCCCGAAACCAGTATAACACTGCTCGCCGCACCGATAGCTACCGTCGTTTCCAACCTCCTGAGCCGATCGCCGACAACTACCGCCGGCCTCTGCCCGTCGATTCCTACGCCTGCGATGCCCCTGATACGCAGCACAGCCGCTCACCGTCGCCTCGACGTCACCAGTCTCGTTCGCCGCCAGGACGTCGCCCGTCGTCCCCTTCTCCTCTACGACGACGCCCGACCTCCCCGCTCAATTCTCACCAGGGAAACTAAGCGGTGCAGCTCTTGGAGGTGAAGCTGCATCCTCGGTACCGACCTCAAATCCTCTCCTTGTACTGCCGACACGACGAAATTTGATCGACGTCGACGTTGACGGCCTGACTGTTTCTGCACTTGTTGACACTGGGGCGCATATTTCTGTGATGAGTGCCCGACTTCGTCGCCGCCTGAAGAAAGTGCTCACACCGGCTGCCCCTGGCGTTATTCGTGTCGCCGACGGAAGAAGTCTTGCCATCACAGGAATGTGCACAGCACGCATCACTATCGCCGATCACCCCACATCTGTTCTCTTTGCAGTTATTGAGCAGTGCCCAAATGACCTAATTCTTGGTTTAGATTTCTTGTCCACCCATGCTGCTCTCATCGACTGTGCAACCGGCGTTCTTCAACTTGAACTGCCTCGACTTGGACCTGTGCCGTCCTCACCGTCACACCGCTTGTGCGCTGTTGATTATGTTCGGCTGTCACCGCAAGCCACCACGTGTGTTGCCTTAACGATATCACCAGCTCTTCCTGACGGTGACTACATAGTGTCTCCATTGGTGGATGTGCTCTTGGCTCGAAGTGTTGCTGTGCCGCATACAATCGTGACTATTGTGGACAACTACGTTCAGCTTCCGCTCCTTAACTTCAGTAGTTCGACCCAAGTTCTCCCGCAAGGCATTTCGTTAGCCCACGTTTCCCCACTTGATGCATGTAGCATCGTGGCATTGGACCCTGAAGACTGTTCGTCCCCTACTGCAGCCAGCCGAGCAAACGCACCTAGCGACGAAATCACGATGATGATCGCCCCTGATCTTCTGCCCTGTCAGTTGGCGCAACTTCACCACGTTCTGACTACCTACCGAGATATTTTCGACTTCGATGACCGCCCTTTAGGGCAAACGTCCTTCGTGCGTCATCAAATACATACCGGCGATGCTAATCCTGTTAGACGGCGACCGTATCGTGTTTCCCAGTCCGAACGCCAGGTCATACAACGAGAAGTCGAGAAAATGCTCTCCAAAGGAGTCATAGAGGCCTCTTCAAGTCCATGGGCGTCACCTGTTGTTTTAGTGAAAAAGAAGGATGGCAGCTGGAGATTTTGCGTTGACTACCGTGCCTTGAACAAGATAACCCGCAAAGACGTATATCCGCTGCCACGAATCGACGACGCCCTTGATTGCCTTCATGGCGCGCGATACTTCTCATCTATTGATCTGCGTTCGGGCTACTGGCAAATTTCTGTCGACGACTTAGACCGAGAAAAGACTGCCTTCATCACACCGGACGGCCTTTATCAGTTCAAGGTTATGCCTTTTGGGCTGTGCAACGCCCCGGCAACGTTCGAACGCATGATGGACTCTCTTCTTCGTGGTTATAAATGGTCCATCTGTCTTTGCTACCTCGACGATGTGATTGTTTTTTCCCCAACATTTGAAACTCACTTAACTCGTTTGTCGACCATTTTAGCCGTTTTTCGTCGAGCAGGACTCCAGCTGAACTCGAAAAAGTGCAATTTCGGCCGACAACAAATCACGATCCTTGGTCATCTTGTAAGTGCTGCTGGCGTCCGACCTGACCCTGACAAGATTAGCGCTGTCAAGAATTTCCCTCTGCCTTCTTCAACCAAAGATGTTCGGAGTTTTGTGGGCTTATGCTCGTACTTCCGCCGCTTTATACGCGATTTCGCTACAATTGCACGACCACTAACTGATCTTCTCAAAAAGAACGTGCCCTTCTCGTGGGGCCAAGACCAAGCAGCTGCGTTTTCCACGCTGATCGACCTGCTCATTTCACCACCAATACTGGCTCACTTTGACCCGTCTGCGACGACTGAAGTACGCACAGACGCCAGTGCTCACGGAATCGGCGCCGTCCTCGCTCAACACCAGGGAGGCCAAACGCGTGTTATTGCGTATGCCAGCCGCCTTCTCTCCACATCTGAGCGAAACTATTCGATAACAGAGCGCGAGTGTCTTGCGTTGGTCTGGGCTGTAGCGAAATTTCGCCCCTACTTGTATGGCCGCGAGTTTTCAGTTATTACGGACCACCACGCTCTGTGTTGGCTGTCGTCGCTCAAGGACCCAACTGGTCGCCTAGGTCGCTGGGCTCTACGTCTCCAGGAGTATAACTTCGACGTAATTTATAAGTCGGGCAGGTTGCACCAAGATGCTGATTGTCTCTCGCGTTATCCGGTGGACCCTGCTAGCCTCGCTGTCCATGAAGGCGATTCTTGTGTGCTCGCCATATCTGATTTGCACGACATCGGCACAGAGCAGCGCCGGGACGCAACCCTCAAGAAGGTCATTCAGCGAGTATCTTCAGGACATTCCGACCCTTCTCTCCGTCAATATGTCCTTCGCAACGACATTCTGTATCGTCGCAACATGAAGTCTGATGGCCCGGAATATTTGTTAGTTATTCCCCAACACATGCGTGCCACTATTCTTCAACATCTGCGTGACGCACCGACGGCGGGACACCTGGGTTTTTCACGCACCTATCACCGCGTGCGGCAACGGTTCTTTTGGCCTGGCATGTATAAATTTGTGCGCCGTTATGTCGCTGCTTGCGAGCGCTGCCAGCGTCGGAAACGTCCTGCTCTCCGTCCGGCTGGCCTGCTCCAACCTATCGACATTCCCCCGGAACCATTCTTCCGCATCGGCCTCGACTTGCTCGGACCTTTCCCGACGTCCGTGTCAGGCAACAAGTGGATCGCTGTCGCAACCGACTATGCGACCAGATACGCGATAACTCGTGCATTGCCAACTAGCTGCGCTACAGACGTCGCAGACTTTCTCCTAAATGACGTCATTCTGCGGCATGGAGCTCCGCGCCAGCTTTTGACGGATCGGGGCCGCTGCTTCCTCGCAAAAGTTATCGACGAAATCCTCCGGAGCTGCTCTACCGAACATCACCTTACTACTGCCTACCATCCCCAGACTAACGGTCTCACGGAGCGTCTCAACCGAACTCTTACAGACATGTTGTCTATGTACGTCTCTGCTGACCACCGTGACTGGGACGCAATGCTCCCCTACGTTACATTTGCATATAATTCGTCAAGACATGACACCGCCGGCTACTCTCCATTCTTTCTTTTGTACGGCTGCAACCCTGCGTTGCCATTCGACACACTCCTTCCTTCTGCTACTATCCAACCAACGGTGTATGCGCAGGACGCTGCTTCTCGAGCCCGCGTCGCTCGCCAAATCGCGCACACTCGGCTCAGTGCTTCTCAGGCCGCACAAAAAGTCCGCTACGATGACTCGCACCGCGACGTTGACTACCCTGATGACTCTCTTGTCCTACTCTGGACGCCGTATCGACGTGAAGGTTTGTGCGAGAAGCTCCTCCCACGATACACAGGACCCTACAAAGTTCTCCGCAAGGTCACCGACGTCGACTACCTCATCACTCCCGTTCAACCGCACTCATCCTCTGCTACACCATCTACTGATGTTGTTCATGTGTCGCGCCTAAAGCCCTACTATACTGCCAGTCCTGATTGACTTAGGGGCGCCGTGACGGCGCTTTGTTCGCCGGGGGTGATATTACGAGGCAGTGGGCATGGCTCTACCATCGTGGACAACAGTTCGATGAAAAAGAAGTGGACTCGCCGCGCGAGAGACTGGCAGCTCTGAAGCGTCACTTTGGCATGTAAATATAGGAAATACGCTCATTCCTCTCTTCCGTGTGTTTGCGAGCACCGTAACAATATACTGCCCTTCGTCACCTACGCCTACAACACCGCCCCTCAGAGCACGACTGGTTTTTCACCTTTCTACTTGCTGTACGGAAGGCACCCGTCGCACACCAAGGACACGATACTCCCGTACACGCCGGATCCATCTGAGTGTACACCTATTTCCGAGACAGCCAGGCTTGCTGAAGAGTGTCGCGAGCTTTCCAAGACTTTTACGACGCAAGAGCAAGAGCGGCAGAAGAGTATTCGTGATGGCTCCACCACTTCTGAGCCCACGTTCCTTCCTGGTGCGCTTGTATGGCTCTCGATCCCGACCTCTGTAGCTGGCCTCTTTTCCAAACTACGTCCCAAATACGAAGGCCCCTACCGTGTCATCGAGCGCACCTCACCCGTCAACTATCTGATCGAACCCGTTGAACAATCTTCGGACATGCGCCGCCATGGGCGAGACATCGTCAACGTGGAGCGCCTGAAGGCTTATTATGACCCGCTCATAGTAACAAGCTGTTAGGTCGCCAGGCGGCTCCCTCTTCGACCCCGGGGTAATTGTAGCGAAGCCTCCGAACTCTGAAATGGGTCGAACTCTTGAGTACCTCCTAGTGGGGCTACCCAACAAGGACGCCGCTCGCGCTGAGAGCCCGTGCTTGGCTGTGACTGTCGCCATTGTATATTCTCGCTCGTTGCCGGCTAATAAACGCCTTAACAACATATTCAAACGGCATACTGGAATGCGGGAAATCACATGTAATGAACTGGTTTAACAAAGCTTTTGCATGCAAGAGTTGACTCTGGCCTATGCGAATAATGATTGCTGACAGTATGTTGTGGTTGACAACTCATCGACTGCTTACAAAGAAGTGCGTCAAAGTGAATCACTGGCTCTGTAAGTGAATATATGCACCCGTGTGCCACTGACCACCACAAGGGTAATATGCAGTGTTGCACAAGCGAAAAAAACACGGAAGAACGCTGGCCTTTCGAAACAAATTGCACATGTTGAAATCGCGCAGTGAAGGAGCGTCACAAATGAATGCTCACCTGTTCAGAGCCATCGCATCCGTCACCGAGGTACTATGCCCAGTCGCCACCAGTAGGGCCTGAAGGGTGTCGGCGGTCACACACGATTACTTACAAATTACCTGTGCGCGCGGCGTACCACGCAAGCAGCGCAATCAAGCAGTAGCTCTACAAGGCACCGATCGCCCTAGTTACTTTGTTGTCCTCAGAAATAGAGGCTTATACCCACTATGAGGAATATTGCAGGACTCGGGTGGACAAAGCTGAATGGACACTAAAATAATTACTCGTTGAATGCTTTATGCCTTATGAATGTTTTCGTCGCCATTTGACATCGCTTTTGGAAACGCTTATCCGCACGTCTGGTTCCAAGATAGTCTTGCTGAGTTCACATGAAACGTCTTTGGACTAAAGTACTAGATAAACGAATATTCATGAACCTCGTTACAAGACGGGTGTGGCAGCGGCACTGGAGGCGTGCGAGCGCGACTATTTCACACCGCTCCAACAACAAGCGCGTGCGCTATTTAGTACCGCTAATTGGCTTGCCACTGCTTGAAGGAAGAAAAAAAAAAACTTTTGAATTCTTTGACATGCGCCACTGAAAGTGTGTTGGCTCACTACAACCATAATCAACTCTACGCTACTATACATAAAGTTGTAGAGTTCCTTAAAATATTTAGGACTATGTACCTCCGTGTTGCTCTATGCTATCATCATCACTGCCTTAACTAGACCGCGAGATTTAATACCTCAATATTTTGCTCGCAGAGTTATCGGCGCTCGCTATCCCGCGACTCGTTTATTTCTTGTTTTTAGAATTTTGTCCCAAATGTAGTTTTAGAAAAGGCTTGAATAATGCTTAGGTAACGCTAGAGCATGCACTAAAACTGAAAGAAAGAAGCGAGGAAGACAGAGAGAGAGTTGATAATACACCACCTAGACGTTGATCGTATATTTTGTATTAAAAGTTTCACGTTTTTATGCTCTCTATTAGGCTGTATGGTCGAAGTGTAAATGAATGTAATAATTGTAAATAAATGTAATAAGTGTAAACGAATGCGTTGTATATTCTGTTTTTCTACGATGGACGCCTGTCAACTGTATTCCATTTTACAAACTGCATGGTTGCAGCACTGCGGACGCTACGGGGCTGTACAATAAAAACTTACGCAAGTTGGTGTTGATTCAGCATGTAACAAGGGACGACTAACACGTCACACAAGAATAGCCGACGGGAAGAGCAAACACTCCTCTAGACGTATTCACCCGCGCCGTTTGTCTAAAATGGTCAAGTAACATGACCTGCTCCAAAATGTGTAAAAAAATCTATATATTTAAAATTGACGAACACACACACACACACACACACCCACACACACACACACCCAAACCATTGTAATGATTATCATCGTATGTCACGCGGGCTGGGCCTCTCTTGGCTCGTGCATCTGGATTGAAAATATAACCTGGTTACTGCCGTACCGGACGTGGTCTCGTAAGTGGTGGAGCGTGCTTTGGTTCCCACGTCCTCCTGCTCTACCCGTCACCCCTGGAGCTCCGGTCTAGTCGACGGTTGTGTCCTCAAGCAACAACGATGGTAGAACCCAACGCGTCCGCTGCTGCAACCGCTCCTCCTCAGCTATTTAGGCTTCACTACACCGTGAGTACCTCTCACCGAGGCCCTCCGGTATTTTCCGGCCTTCGCAACGAAGACGTCGAAGAATGGCTGGACAGTTATGATCGAACCAGCGTTTGTAATTATTGGGACGAGGCACACAAACTGCGCTACGTTCCTTTTTACCTCAATGGCGTCGCTTAAACCTGGTATTACAACCACGAGAGCGACTTCTCCAATTGGTTGGCCTTCACGGGGCATCTCCGTCACGTATTTGGCATGTCTGCAGGATGCTCTGCGGTAGCGAAACAGAAGCTCGCAATCCGCATCATATACGTCCTACATTGAAGATGTTCTGGCTCTCTGTCTCCGAGCACAAAATGACATGACGGAGGCCGATCGCATCCGGCACCTACTGAAAGGTATCAACTCCGTGGTCTTCAATGCTCTCGTTATCCAGAATCCAACTACCGTCCCGGACGTTATAACCACATGCAAACGCCTGGACGCGCTTCATTCCATGCGCCTTCCACACGCCTCCTGCGACTCTCGCTTTACCGGAGAGCATGAATTGCGAGCCCCTATCCGCACAATTGTCAGAGAGGAACTACACGGCCTTATTCCAGGCAACTCAACCATTGTGTCTGTCCGCACACCTCCTCCCAACCTACGTGACATAATCAAGGACGAACTGGCATCAATGACAAGCGCAGCACATGCCCCGTCTCCTGTGCGCTTTCCAGCGTCTTCGTATGCAAAAGTTGCATCACGGGCCCCTGCACCAATTCCAAGCGTGCCTGCGGACGTCGTATGCGACCATTAGGTGGCGATGGCAACGCAAGTGCCAAGGCCACCCCACTATTCTACATGGCGTCCTCCGCGCCCCATCTGCTTCTACTGTGGCATAAGGGGTCATATATCCCGTTTCTGCCGCCGCCGTCAGCAGGATGAACGACGTGGTTATCCAGCTTACGAAAGAGACTTGCCCCGACACCCGATGAATACGATTCCGCACCATATCCGTCCACCTCCGTTGGTCGCCCTCCCCTCCACGATCTCAAGCTGCAGCCTCATCCTCTCCTTCATCTCGCCGCCGTTCTCCGTCACTGTTTCCGCGTATGTCATCACCCCTGCGTCCCACGCCGATCTCTCTGGACTCGGAAAACTAGAAGGTGCAGTTTTTAGAGGAAAAACTGCTTGTTATCGAAACGTTACAACTCCTCCGTCTCGTCCAGTTAATTTACTGCCTGTTTGTGTGGAAGGTGTTTTTGTTGACGCCCTTATAGACACTGGAACCGCCATTTCGATATTTGATCGTGAATTGTGTTTTCGCCTGCGTAAAGTGCAAACTCCTTATGCCGGTCCCATGTTATGCGGTGCTAATGACAGTCCAATTTGCCCGACCGGATTGTGTACTGCTCGTGTTCTTATCGATGGAATCCGTCATCACATACGATTGGCTGTGCTGTCTTCGTGCGCTCATCAGATAATCTTAGGCTGGGACTTCTTGTCAGCTGCGTCTGCTGTAATTTTGTGTGGTCGACCCCTCATTCGTATATATATTACGGAACTGAGCTTTCTTCAGCTGCCGACCTTTCGTCGCCCAGCCTTGTCACAACTGCGGATTTCCTCCTGCCTCCCGGACAAGAACGTGTCCTTACGATCAAGTCACGAGACATTCTAGATGGTGACACAGTGGTTGTTCCTTGCCAGCACTGAATTTTTCGAGGGATCATCATCGTATATCGTTTAGTGCGGTTCTCACGTGGTGAAGCAGGCATCACCGCCTGCGACACGACACCAGAACCACTACTTCTGCCAGAGGAAACCACTGTTGCCAGCAGTACCGAAGAAGCACCGGTTTGTATCGTCACAGGTTCATCTGCTTCGTCATTCTGAAAGTGCATGCCAGTGGAAGATTTTTCTCCTGCTCTCAAGGCCACTTTGTGTAAACATCTCAACCCAACGCAAACTGATGCCTTGCTAGCGTTATTAATGAAGCACAAAACTTGCTTTGACGTTTGTTCCGAAGGTCTGTGTCAAACAACAGTGGCCGCTCATCATATCGACACCAACGGATCCCGTATCATTCCCCGCCACCCTTACCGTGTGTCGGCTTCTGAACGCAAGCTTATAGAAGAACAAGTCAACGACATGCTCGCGCGCAACGTCATCAGGCCTTCGACAAGCGTATGGTCTTCTCCTCTCGTACTAGTAAAAAAAAAAAAGGATGGCGCGGTATGGTTTTGCATTGATTAAAGATCACTCAACAAAAATTATTCGTAAGGACGTCTACCCAATGCCTCGCATTGACGACGCTCTTGATACTTTACAAGGTGCCGAGTACTTTTCAAGTCTCGACTTGTGCTCTAGTTATTGGCAGATTCCGATGCACGAGTCTGATAAAGAGAAGACTGCGTTTGCTACGCCAGATGGGCCCTTTGAACTCAATGTGATGACTTTTGGCCTATGCAACGCCCCAGCCAAATTCAAACAAATGATAGACACGGCACTGCGGGGATTAAAATGGAAGACCTGCCTTTGCTACCTGGACAACATTGTCATCTTTTCGTCCAGCTTCTCACAGCACCTGAACGGCTAGACGAAGTCCTGACGTGTTTAGCTAAGGCCGGTCTCCGGCTCAACACTAGTGTCGGTTTGCCAGTCACAGCATCAAGGTATTAGGTCACGTCGTCAGTAAACATGGCGTTAAGCCCGATCCCAACAAGGTTGCCGTGGTACTGGACTTTCCTACACCAAACACACCCAAAAACCTCCGCAGCTTCTTTGGCTTGGGGTCGTATTTCCGCCGCTTTGTGCGTGATTTCGCTACTATTGCGGCTCCTCTGCACAAACTTCTGACCACGAGCGCCCCCTTTGTCTGGTCGGATCACTGCGAAGCCGCTTTTCACACCCGGAAGCGATGTCTCACATCACGGCCAGTGCTTCGCCATTTCGACCCTGCAGCACCTACTGTGCTATACATTGACGCAAGTGGACTTGGCATCGGTGCTGTCCTTCTTCAGCGGAACCACGCTTTCGAAGAACAAGTCGTGGCCTACGCGAGCCGTACTCTTGCACCTGCTGAGCGAAATCACAGCATCACTGAGCAAGAATTTCTCGCCATCGTGTGGTCCGTACAAAAGTTTCGCCCTTATATATACGGCCGGCATTTCACAATAGTGACTGACCGTCGTGCTCTGTGTTGGTTATCGTCTCTCAAAAATTTGTCGGGACATTTTGGCCGTTGGGTACTACGATTGCAAGAGTATGACTACAGCATCACATATAGGTCGGGTCGACAGCACCAAGGTGCCGACGCTTTGTCGCGTTTCCCGCTCTCGCAAAGCGATGAAGTGTCACCTTCCATCTACTCGTCACCGCCCACCAAAGTGACCAAGCAGACAGCTGCTTGTTCGAAAGAGTTCGTTGCCTCGGCGGACCTTCTTTCGTCCACAGATCTTGCCTCGCTCCAACATGCCGATACCTACTGCCGCACAATCATCGATCGGCTCACAGGCTTATCGCGTGCTCCAAACAGCCGCCTAAGACGACAACTTGCCCGTTTCAAGCTTCAAGATGGAACATTATGTTGGAAAATTTACCATCCTCTCGGTAACCAATGGGTTCCCGTCATTCCTCGCTCACTTCGTCTGGAAGTTTTACAAGCGACAGCTGGCCACGGAGTTCCGCGTGACTGACGACCGCCTCAAGACTCGCTGCTTTCGGCCTGGCCTCTCCACTTCTGTCGCCAAGTACGTCGCTTCCTGCGCGTCATGCCAGCACCGAGAACGTACCTCGTCTCTTCCCGTGGGACCATTGCAACCACTGCCGTGCCCGTCCACTTCCTTGGAATTTGTGGGCATAGACTTATACGGAC